AAAATTTTATATTCTGTCTATTTTATTTTCTCTACCCTAACACTAACAGAACACTTGATTCTTGGAGCTATAGAGAAATCATCAATGTATAGTTGAAATATGAAATTAAATAGGTAATATCATCCTGTCATCTAAACTGACTTAAGTATTATCCAGTAACTTCCAAATTATTTATCTTAACAATAAACCTTTTCACATCTATTTTCCTTTGTGGTTTTATTGCAGCAATTTGTATATACTGTAGATGTAATCATTATGTCCATAAAGCAATAAATCAGAGTTGGAGCCATTAGCTGTTACCAGCAATCTATATTATATAAACAGAATGTAGAAAGCAAAATATGACATATGTGCATGGTTAGCTCAATCCTGGGGAATTTTAGACATTTTATTTTACTTAAGTTTTATTAGGCTAAACCAAAAAATTTATAATTTTTACATTTTAGTTTCCTTGTTAAAAAACAATACATAACAATAAATATAAAATTACATAAAACAAGGATTTATAGTATTCTCTACATACTTGAGGTAATTTGTACTAGAATACAAACAACTGTTCTTTCCTAAGTCTCACAGAATTTTACAAATTTGAGGACCAAAAAAATAATTCATATAGCTTTCAACTTTGCATTTTAGAACACAAACAACATATGAGTCACAAGAATGGAATATCCCAAAACTACTATAATCTATCCAACTTCCTAGGTAAGCCATAAATAGGTTAAAAACTTCCATTAGCACAACAGTGATGATAGAAAATAATCACTTAATGACTTAATAATCGAGGTGGGGCAAATGAGATGAGATGTGGTTTCATGTAGAGGAGAATCTCCTGTTTTTAAAGACTATAATCATGTCCATCAAGCATGTAAAATTGATTTTAAAAAAATCTAAAAATTCAAAGAGAGAGAGAGAGAGAATAGGCTTCTCTGGTGGGTTTGACAAATTTATTTATACCTCAGCAAATCAAGAAGGTAGGAGGTGCACATTTTAGATTCTTACTTGTAATTATGCAAATTTTGTGTTTCTAATCTCTTTTTGAAGTTAAAAAATTCTGATGTGGAGAAATAGGAGCAAAGATGCATCATTTGGCAAAGAAAAATGAAAATTGATAACGTGTGTTCCTTTTTGAAATAAAAAGTTAGACTTAAATAATATTTAAATTTGAATTATAAGTTATGTCTTCATGTCAAGTGTATTGACATACATTAATAATAAAATTGTTTGATTAACTTTTGAATGTTAAAAGTGTAGCAAAAGAGTGAAGATGGCTTTTCAGAAGAAGGGTGGTAAAAGATGTGCACAAACTCATGAGTTTGTTTTGGTTGTTATTAGGCATAAAGCTACACAATGGACTATATGTGCATTATTCATCACAGATGTTGAAACCTAATTTTTAGCACTGTAAGTCTGCTAACTTACCACTGAGTCACTAGGGGGCACAACATCAAGAGATAATCTAAAAGAATTCCTGCAAGAAGGTGGGCCTTCAATGACAGAACACTTCAATAATTCACTATGGTTTTTCCAGTCTAGCCTACTTGACTGATATCTATAATGAACTGAATTTAGAACTCTAACAATGTAATAGACACATATTAACACTAGACAAAGAAAAATTCTGCATGTATGAAAGGAAAAATATACAAAACAAATGTTTTCTTGCTTAACAAACACAAAAAACAGCAGCAGCCATTCTAGATTGTTCAATGTCAAATGTATCTAACTTAAAATTGTGATGAAAACACTTGTTCATTCTTTAATTTTTTTATGTACAAAAGTACTTATTTGTCTTTATTCATTAAAGTTTCACTCCTGTACTCATTCTAAGTGGTTTCCTTCTTTTTTTGAAAGTATGTTATTACTTCCAATTAAAAGAAGCTTTCACATTACTCTTATTAATCTTCTTGCATGTTTAAACAGCTAAAATGTTTTATTGTTTACAAAAAAAATATGTATCCTCCATAGTGAGCCATAGAACCCAATTCAGCATATTTTAAGCCATTATGACACAAAACATATCACTTGTACTTATATCACTTCATACTATTAATATATGGAAGCCTATATGATAATCTTTCTTTACCTACGAGCCACTAGATCTTTCATATTTACTCTGAAATGTAGAAGCTTACCTGTGGGCCATTGGATGTGTAATTACTACTCTCTCTGGAGTTCCTGTTCCCATATTCATTCTTTTTGCTGAATTTCCAATACTATCTTGTTCCATTTCTATGTCATCTTGAAAATTAAGGACTCTCAGCTTACTATGATTTATAATTCCAGATTTAAAAACATTTATTAGTTGAAAAATACATAAACTTACATCCTACGAAAGAAATTAAGCATGCCTTTAGAATTACACATACTAAACACATTTTCAACAGGATTTTCAATTACTAACATTTTAGGAACTAACAATAGGATTACATGAAACTTTTAACAATTAATTTACATCAAAAATAGAAATTGATCTGTTACCCTATTTTATTTTCTAAAGAAAATCTTATCCAAATGTGACAAAAAAAGCTTAATTTGGTTTAGATTACAGATATATGTTAAATAGTTCAATCTTCTGTGCAGTTCATAAACCCATATATTCCTGAAGAATTCTATATCTATTAAAACATAAATCTGATATCATATTATTCATTACAGTTCTAAGAAGCTCTCAGACTATTTAGCTCATATGACTTACATTTCCTTTTGACTGAGAACTGACTGGGTCGCAGGGCAACAGGACTTTGACTGCGCCTGAAAGAAATGGAGTTTAAAAGACATTTTTCTGGAAGAATTTTAATTAACCTGCACATATTTTATTTTTTGTTACAGCTGCTGGTAAAACCACTGGACACTGTTAAAAAATACTTACCGAGTTGCAAAGCTTCTGCGGGTGGGGCTAGGACTAGGACTAACGAAGAAGGAAGATGTCCTCAGAAGACTTGTAGAAGGAGAAAACCATTGCTAAAAAGTAAGAGAAAAATTTTAGAAATATGTTTGCATCATTGGCTTGGAATTATACATTCATCAACATCTCTACAACAATATTATTATTAGTAAGCATACTTGAAGTGTAACAAAAAACAATTATGTTTCTCAAAGAATTATCATATACAATCATGGGGTTAGATGATAAACAAATACTCTTTTCTACACTAAAAAAAGTACGTCAAAATTATGACAAATAAGGTGAACATGCATGTCTTTGAATACTTTGTTTCAGAATTTTGCACAAAGATACATAAGAGCTATCTGCAAATTACCATTTCTAATTTGAATTGAGAGGATATGGGGTAGACAGCTAGTCAGCAACATCCACTGCCAACTCTTGTCTGATCAAGCAATATGATTTTACTCTTACTACTATATCACACTCACTGTTTCAATGTGCACAGCACATTTTTGCAGAATTACTTCATGAATCCATGAATTCACAGTCCAAGTACATTTCTAAAAACTAAGTAACATCTAACAAATGTTTGAATATGCATAACTACCTTGCAGAAAAACGTTTGCATTCTATTGTGAGTTTACCAGTGGAAGAAAGTACTTCCTGAAATGTAGAAATGAAACAACAGCAAAATTAAGATTTCTTGGAACTACTGGCAGAAGGAAACATTTAGCTCTGAAGTTTACAATTTCAAAGAGAATGTTAATCGCTATTATTCATTTTCTTGTAAAAATCATTACATTCCTGTAAAGAAATATATTAGTGTTGGCATATCTAAACCTTCAATTATAAAAATTATGTAATAGTGAGGGTAAATTATTGTTTTGGAACATGATTTATAAAAATGATAATAGAATTAAACACTACAATTTCTTTAAATATTTCATTATACTTTAGGTCTAACAAAGTGGTTTTTTGTATAATTTCTCCTCCACTTGCAAAACTTCTTCAAATAGCAATCTTATACTTTATCAAATAATTTTCTTTAATAAGAAATAATCTGAAAGCTGAAGTGTTTGACTGCTAACATAAGGTAAAGATGTGCACATATTTCTATTATTTAGCAATAGATTTTTAAGCATTAAATTTATGCATTTTACTACAAAAGTTACTGTTTCCGTGTAATTTATAATGTGCTTTTTATTAACTTCAAACATTATTTTGTTTAATTAGAAGAAAAGCATGCTAATGAATCTGAACCTGTAACTGTGAAAATAATTTTAAAACAATCAATATCAAAATTACTCATTAAAAACAAGTATTATTTGTGGCATGTAATCTAGATTTCATATAATAAGGTAATAGCAGTGGTTCTGTAAATGACATCTTTAAAGGATAACAATAAATACACTAATGCTAAAATATTTTAAAAGCTTCCACTTGAATTTCCTTCTGTAATATTATTAGATTATACCAAATATTGTTTTTCTTTAAGTAAATGTAGTTACTGTATTATTTGCAACTAAAGGAAAAAAAAAAGAATAATGAACAGGGAATACATCTGGTTTCAATACAGTCCATAATTTTTTTTTTAGTATGTACTTCCTTCTGTTAAATGGAAGCTGCTACAGGAGCTGTGCTCAGTATCTCACATATTCACTGTGAAGCAAGGCCATATAAGGTAAACGTTTTGTAGAAAAGGTGTTCAATGTTGGATAACTTTTACACTGCATAATAAAAAGTAAATAAAAAAAAACCAGAGAGCGTGGTATATTATGTTGTAGTTAGAACCATCAAAGACGAGTAAAGCCCTAGTTGATCTCGTAATGAAATCAAGCATTAGTGGAATGTAAGTTAGCAAGAAGTGTTTACTCAAAGACTAAACTTTCAGTTGGGATTCCTTGAAAAACACTGAAAATAGATACTCATGAATCAACTAGGTTGACAAGATGTTTTGGAATGTTACTACATTCTGTTTCAGCCGTATAAAATATGAGTTGAAAACACAGTCAGCAGAAGTGATAAGTAATGCACTCCTTCATTCACCAATCAGCAAGCCATAAACAATCTTGGAGTATCATCACAGAAATGTAAGAAATAACTTAATACAATAAGTTGTATTAAGTTATTTCTTGTATTTTGTATGTTTTATGGTAACTCAAATTTCAGTCTAAATTCTTGTTCTTTATGTAAATTCCTTAAGTTGGCAATCTGTGTGCTCATGAATGCATTTCTTGGTATTGAACAAATATTATTTATATCAAGTATTATCATACCTCTGACCTGCCTGTTACAATAGCATCACTGAACTCCATTCTGTATGCTAAAGTAAAACAGTTTATGCCAAACTAATAAAATAAGTAATAAAACATCTATTTCTTTTCAAAATTTTACAACAAAAATATTTCTAATGTTTCTTGCATATTGCAAACAGCTTTATTATTAATAATTTCTCAGCTAAAATAAGTTAATTAAACAGATAAGAACTAAATCAATAACTTATAAATTAGTGAAGCCAACTCTCTGTATGACAACTTGACTAAAGTACACAATGTCATAAATCAATAACAAACTAACTAAAAAATAAAAGTTAGAATGTGTGAATTATATTATTTTTAGGTTCATTCAGTTTAGGTTATTTAGGTTAGTCTAAAGACCATAACATTATCAATTCATACTGCTAGATGGCAGGAATGCATATTTTGGGGTTTGAAAAGTGCATATTATTGGTTGTATAGAACCCTAAATAGGAGGAATATTGTGTCCAATGCCTAACTACCATTACTCATCTTATCCATGACCTCCATTTAAAATTTGTATGTTACTATGATAATATTATTCTTTTGCACTAAATGGATCAAGAGAGCTTGTTAAACAACATGAACTAGAGAGAGAAAAGCGTAGGCAGAGAAGAGAGGAAGAAAAACTAAAAGAAGAAAAGGAAATAGAAAGAATAAGAGCATAAATTGAGAAAGAAGAAAAGGAGAAAGATAGAGAGGAGAGACTGCAACTAGAGAGAATAACAGCTCAAGTTGAGAAAGAAGAAAAAGAGAGAGAAGAAAGACTAGAAATAGAGAGAATAAGAGCACAAATTGAGATAGTAAAACTCACCCAACTGAGGGAAGAAGGACCTAAGAATGACAGTGGATTCAGGGCCAGCCAACCCAAGCTGCCCAAATTTGATGAACATAAGTATGACATAGATGCTTTCCTGAAGAGATATAAAAGATTTGCTCAAAGTACGAACTGGGACAAAGGCGACTGGGCAGTCTGTCTCAGCCCATAGGAAAAGGCCTACAAGTATATGCAGGCATGATGTCAGAAGATGCCATGGATTATTACAAATTAAAAGTAGCTTTACAGAAACGATATGAACTTACTGAAGAACGTTTTCGTTGGAAGTTCAGAGGAGTCAAACCCGACATTGGAGAAACTGTATTTCAGTTTGTGGAATGTCTGCGGTGGTATATCACTAGATGGACTGACATGGCCATGTGTGAAAATAGTTTTGAGGTACTGACAGACCTATTAGTACGTGAACAGTTCATGACGACGTATTTAACTGACATGTCACTGTTCCTAAAGGAGAAAGCACCAAAAGATGTAGACTAGATGATCAAGCTGGCAGAATAGTATATGGAAGCCCATGGAGGTAGTATAAATGGCCAGTCCAAGAATCTCCAATTAAATTTGAAACCAGTAATGGCTGACCATAAGCAGAGTTTACCAAAAATGACAGGAGGTTAACAGACAGAAGAGAGAAGAGATGCTATGTTTGTTATAAAATTGGACACAGTGCAAGGAGTGCAAGTCCATCACCAGCAAGAACGTCAATGGGGTTTTAAAGAGTATGCTAAAGAAGATGTGCCAAGAGAAACCACATGACTGGGACAAGTACTTGCAGGTAGTATTATTCGCTTTTCGAGAAGTCTCACAAGCAGGTACAGGATTTTCACCCTTCGAGTTACTATATGGAAAAATAGTATGAAGTCCAATGCAAATATTGAAAGAGCTATGGATGGGAGAAGAAGAGTAAAAAATAAAAAACACATAACAGTATGTGTTAGACCATAGAAACCAACTGGAGCAGACCTATCAACTTGCTTGACAGAGTTTGTATGCAGCTCAAGGTATTCAGAAGCATTTTTATTACAAAAAGTCCAAGGATTGACATTTCAAAGTTGAACAAAAAGTCTTAGTTCTGCTGCCTACAGGCCACAACAACTCACCCTGCAATGGAATAAACTTTTTGAAGTGTGGGAAGTACTCAATAGAATGGACAACAAGGTGAGTGTGAAGACCAAGATCTACCATGTCAATCTGTTGAAGTATTTGGGGAGAGAAGAAGACCTAACGGGTGCAACTATTGAAACAGAGATAAATGTTGCAGGTGTGGTAGTCACAGAAGCAGAACCAGAAGACAGTGACTTTGTCTTAGAAGATGAGGACCTACTAGACCTAAGACCGCTAGGTGGAGATGAGACATACAAAGATGTCAACATCAGCAAAGAACTGACTGACAAGCAAAAAAAAGGGTTACAAGACCTATTGTGCCAGTACAGTGAAGCTCTATCAGGTACCTTATGCAATGAGAGACCTTATAAAGTAGGAAGTTGAGGCAATGTTGGAAACTGAAATTAAATTCAGCCTACTGTTCACCAGTTGTAATTGTGAAGAAGAGGGACGGATAAAACGATTTCTGCATAGAATTCCGGAAGCTGAAATTCATGATGAAGTTTGACTCCGAACCTATGGGCAACCCAGAGGCCATCATGGCAAAACTAGATGGGGCCAGGTTCTTTTTTTAAAGATTGACCTCAGTAAAGGTTAGTTACAAATCTGATTGGAGACAGGATCTAAAGAGAAGACAGCATTTGTGACACCAGATGGATGTTACCAATTTAAGGGGATGCTATTTGGGTTATTCAAGTCAGCAGCAACATTCAATTGCATGATGAGAAGGATGCTGTGCAACACAACCAACATCGAGCACTATGTAGATGACATTCTGACACATGCTGCAAGATGGAAAGACCACCTGAAGAGGCTTAGACAACTGTTTCAACGAATGAAGGCAGCAGGCCTCACCATCAGACCATCCAAGTGCTACATCAGATATTCTGTGCTGGAGTTTGTTGGATATAAGGTGGGGGACAAACAGATAGCCATGGAAAAGGAAAATATAATCTACATACAAGATACACCAGCTCCGATGACCAAGCAGCAAGTCAGATTCTTCCTGGGGGTTAGTGGAATACTACAGGAAATTCATCCCAAATTATGCTCAAATTGCTGCACCATTTACTGACTTGACCAACAAGGCAAGTGGGAACAACAACACCAGGTGGCATTCCAGAAATTAAAGAACATGTTGGAAAGCTCAACAATTCTTAGAATGCCAGACTTCAACAAACCATTCATTGTTCATTGGGGCAAGAACCAGAAGATGGACTGTTTCCAGTAAGATATAGAAGTAAAAAATTGTTAAATACTCCATGATTGAACGGGAGTATCTGGCCATCATATTTGCCATTCGGAAGTTCCAGAACTATCAATATGGGAAGGAGTTCATCATCCAGACAGACCATCATCCACTTGCATACATTCAGAGGTGCAAGATTGACAGTGCGAGGATCATGAGGTGGGTGTTGTACCTTCAGAACTACAGATTCTGCATTGAAGCTATCAAAGGGGCTTGAAATGTTGGAGGAGACTTTGTGGATGAACTAAGGACAGTCTTTGTATATAGTAAAAAAATATATTGTAAATATTTATCTTGAAGAGGGGTTTATGTCATGATATAAAAGACTGTTTAGTTTAGATATTATACATTAATTTAATTTTTGTGAGTGAATATTTTATTATTGTTTAGTTTTTGTTAAAATGAGAGTTAAAAGCAAACGATTGTAGGAAGTTTTGTTAATAATTCATTTATTTTGAGACTATTGAACGTCATGTGCAGTACATTGACATCAAGAATATAGAAGGTGAGCAGACGATTCAGTTATATAGATATAAATAGTGTGAGACAGACAACAGCAGACAGATAATAGCAAAAAAATATCAAGTTTTTACAGGCCAAGTAAAAGTTTGGCGTGAAGTTTGGCGTTTAATATGTCAGAGTAAAGCTAACAGTAGAAAAGGAGTTAAGAATAATAAGTTATTCCGTCAAAGCATGGTTCTAAAGTAACTGAATCAGCCTGAGTGCACTTTGACAAAAGGGACAGATGATATTTAGAAGAAAGAAGACCAAACGCTTACGGTAACTTGCACCACAATTGTAAGTGAATCACATACAGAATACTAGTGCGATAGTAATAGAGAAGATAGTTTGGCTTGTCAAGTGAAATTCTAAAATAATTGAATAGGCCTAAGTGGATATTAGACAAGAAGGAGAGGACTACATATAGTGTTTATGATATGCCTATAATATCTATAGTGTTGAAGAATTTGTTGTACATACGTTTAACTAGTTCCGAATATATATATTATTTTGAAAACAAGTGAAGTGTGTGCTGCTCATTTATCGTTGAATTTACCGCTAACAAGTCACAGATACCTACTGTAAAAGAATCCTTAGCCCAACAACAACACAGTATATATTTATACTATTAAGAAATATAAGTAAAAGCCTTTTATTTTGACAATTGGCAAATTTTAAATTCTCACAGTGAACATCATGCACATCGACTCTTGTAGACAGAAAATCACTCTTATAAGGCACCCATAGCCCAAAGTGCAAAGCAAACCATGAAACCTCAAATCCATAGTCACTAATACTAACCACTGGGCCATACTTTGTCCTCTAAAAATGTAGAAAAAAATTTAATTCTTAATGTGATACCAAAAATAATATGTATGTGTTCATAGTTGTTAATTTTTGATATATGTTTTAAAAAAAGTGTACCATGGAAACACAACAGAACCATGAAATACAATAACTAACTATGCTTACCTTTCCTGCACGTGTAGGCGAAGGAGAGCTACACAAGCCTAAGGGAGGTGTAAATATATGCAAAGGGTCAGTCAATGAATGTCTCTTTGCTGGCTCACTAGGTGTATTATTGATATGTGTTGTCCTGTCCTATCAAATTATGCAGTAATATCATATAAATACATTAACACAGATTTAAAAATATTATGAAAATAACAACAATACACCAGTTTTAAAGCAAAGAGTCACAATGAACCACAAGATTTTTTGGAAGTAAAGGATTCCACTAGTGCAAATTGTTTTAATAACAAGAGTAACTTATGTTAAAATTATCATTTTCAGTAATAACAGTAAATGAACTAACAGTCTTACTTTTAGAATTGTGTACAATAAATCATTTATTGAAAATTGAATTTCACCTTTGAGTATCTTAAACAAGTGCCAACTGAATATTAAAATGCCTAATATTTGCGATAAAAATCATGCTCAACTGCAATCTTTCTATATTTTTTCATATTCATCCCAAATAATAGAACAAACAGATTACAATGATTCATCAAATTTTGGAGTTCAACAATGTAAGACTAACATTTTTTGTGTTACCGTAATATTTGAAATAATGTACTAAACTGGGATTGTCCAAATTTTATTCCTAACTGAAAAAGTTATTCTAAACATAATATTTTTCATATATAATGCAAAATGTTTCATGATCTAATTGAAAACATTTTTTTGTTGTAAAAAAGTTACTAATACAAGTCTAAAAGCTGGTTTTGCTTCTCAGTTGCCCTTAAAAAGACTGCTGAGTTGTAGCATACAAGTGAACATGCGACAACCCTCCACGATAGGAGTGTGACACACTTTCCTACCACAGATGACTCTACCTATATTGATTGTTCAATCATCACTTTCGGATTAAGCAAGAAAAGATGCACCATAAGTTGGGGAGGATGAGTGGGAAGTGTGAGAACAACCTCTAATGTGATACCTCTTCTCCTGTATTAGCTAGAATCTCACACTGAAGTGATAAAGGGACTGGTGCAAAAGTTACCTAGATGAGTCCCCTTCAGAAAGCACTCAAAGAAAACCCATGTAGCATGACATCTTATACCACGAAAATATAGGGACACACTCATGGGAGACTGCATCCCTTCTGTACCAGGGTATACTCTTCACCCGTAGTGAACATATATACCAGGAAGGAGAAGGGAACTTCCATTCTGCCATCCTAGGAAGAGCTCACGTGTGCTGACCTTGTAAACATCCAACACTAGACCACCCAGGAACCTGACATCCATGCAACAGTAGCATGGGGGTAAATGAAAGCCAATGTATTGGAGAATGGCAATTATAAAATAATAATGTGGAAATAAAAGGCCACAAAATCTGCAGGTGGAGATATTGTTGGAAAGCAAAAATCCAACAATAAATATTCTTACAACAGGTAATATCTTTGTGGATACTTGCACACAAAAAAATACCTACATCTGAAAAGTTCTTGAGCAGAAAAAAAGATACACCATTACACACAAGTGCCAAATGGAGAAGTGATGAATGAATAATCATTATAGAGTGAGTCAGCTGTGCTAAAAGAGCATGCCACAGTCCTATTGGTGAAGGGTTGTCAAATACTCATTTGCATGCTACAGTACAACAATATCACATGGAAACGTGTGAGTTTAGGCGGGAGCCTCAAGTTAGTGGTAAGCAAAAAAAATTCAGCATATAGAAAGGAGCACAAAATCAAGAAAACCTAATATTTGAGAATAGGTAAAGTATCAAATCAGAAGCATCTGTTATTAAAAATAAAGTTTTGTATAAAGATTGCCATATATTGTGGCATATAAGTCATTCCCCTAAAACCAGGCCAAAAAATCCTGCAATCCTGTAATTTTCTAATCACTGTCATGTAAGTCTACCACCAATATTATACAGTTGCTGTTGTTACACCAGGGGTATTGAAACCCAGTTTCTAACAATACAAGACTGTAGACACACCGCTGTGCCACTGGGGGGGAGGGGGGTATTATAAAGAAATCTTATACAGTATACATATATTTTTAAAGACAGACGAATATTTACATATGTAACTTATTTAATAGTACTGACAAAAAAATTTTAAATCAATCAAATTCCTCATCTTCAGAAACTGAATTGCCAAAAAGTTCATCTAATTCACTTTGACTTATCTGATTATCATAGACATCACATTCCTCTACGAAATCACCATCATCCTCGATTGTTGGACAGGTACTGTTTTCTGCTGTAGGACCAGGTTATGTTGTTACATGAAACAACAATACCAACTCCCGAGGAGCAGTAAAATCAGAAATATTTCTCTTCTTGAACTACACCTTGTCTTTAGTTTTTTTTTGTTGTTTGTCTATTCCACAAATAAGAATTGAATCTTGAAGTTTGCTTCGTATCTCATATATTTTGGAGGCATTTTGATGTTCAGCTGTTGAATCTATCATCAAAATGACAATTAGAATGCACATTTCAACCTTTATAATGTCATTTCCTAGAATTTCAAACAAAGGCTCAGACTGGTTGTTACTGCTGCAAAATTCATTCTGCCCAGGTCAGCATGTCATGAGCCATGTCTGCATGAGGAGTATTGTTTGGTGTGTCTAAATAGAGTGATTAACTTGATTTCAGAGCTCCACTGATGACCAAGAATTTTCCTAGTCTTTATATCCATTGTATAAGTTAAATCCCCTTTTTGTGAATAACATTCTGTCATAAAAAAATTGACTTTTATGTCATGATATATGGTATGTAGTCTGTGATACATACATAATGCTGATAATACGAGTTCAACATATGCCTTAAATTCTATCTAGCAGGTAGCAACATTTTTATTTAAAAAAAAAATATATATATATATATATATTAATATATATCTTTTTTCACACTTATATTTTTCATAAGATTTCAAGAGAGAGAGAGAAACTAATACAGAGACAACTCCAATTTGACACATCATTTCAAATGCTGCTGAAACACAAAAACGTTAATGTTACAGTGTTGAAATTCAATAGCTGGCAAATCACTAGTCTATTTGTCCAAATATTTGTGATGAATATGGAAAAAAAAACATTGCGGTTAAATGTGTTTTCTTACCAAAGTCAAATCTTCCCAAGACTGGGATATCTGAAGCTTGGACTGAACCTCTCTAGAGATGAAAAAACAAACAAAATACACAGTAAAAACAAATTGCTTACTTTAGATAACAATCATACACAAAACTTCATTTTGCAAAAAAAACTTTTGTCATTAAGATATGAAAAGTAAAAGCTTTTACTAGTCTTGAACAGAAATTAATATTTACTTTTATGATTTATATTTAATCCTTAAATATAAAAGATATACATCAATTTATTCTATGTTTGATTATATTCATTAATGTAGAGCTTTGAATTTCATCAACAGCATCAATTTTCTTTTATCATAAGATCCTTACTTTTCATGAGAAGCTTCTCTATACATCACATTCATTCCTTCTTCATGTTTTAGCTGAATGACCCGAGATGGCACAAATGATGGCATCAATGACTAGTTAAAAAAAAAGAGTTGAGTGACAAATAAGATTCACATTAACTGAAGTCTACTCACTTCATGAAAAGTGAGTGATAACAAAATATTTACTTAGATATTTCAATCTATATACACATAACTTATTTACAATTCTGAGGTGAGATGTTTTGGCAATTCAAAATGTGTATTATTCATATATTCAGGAATGGCAAAAGAGTATTTACTACTACATGGAACTTAATGATTTTTCTCAAAAATTTCAACAAAACTTTGTAAGCATTGCCAAGAATCTGAAAATTAGAAAATGGCAAGTCTAAATCTATTTAGATTATTTTCAAGTGTTTATATATACTTCACAAATAATCTTCAAAATATTTACAATAACTTCTTACCTAACTTCTAAGCTTAACTTTTGCCAATAATAGTAAACATTTCTGGAAAATGTATATCTTACTTAATATGTTCTGCAATATGTATTTTACCAAATATTGTCTGTCTCACCCCACAGAATATGAAATTGGGCTGTGAAAACAGAGTTATTTTAAGTTATGAAATTTTAGAAATTGTGCCAAATTACTTCAAAACTTTATAGAGAAAAGATTTTCATAGTTAGATTACTCTTCAACCAAATAAAAAATGAAGCTAAGAAAAATTAAATATTTTACAGGCATCATTTACCAACTGAATTTTAACAGATCAGTTTTGCAGTTACAACCGATAAACATAAGTATCCTCAAATTTGAAGTGATGAGATTTAATCTGACTAGTGAATCAACTAATTAATAGTCAGATCTGTTGAAAAAAAAAACAACCTCAATATATATATATATATATATTTAATGAGTATATATGTCCCCTTGAATTGGTACGGGCCTTTTACTGAATGATCATCAGAAAATACTATGAAGAGCTCATGTTCCATTTTTTAGTCAGTGTAAAACCAAGTTTTCTGACACTGTGTTGTAGATAAGGGCATTGATGCCCATGGAATAACCACAATCTTCCTCCATGGACCTGACCAAACTAAAATGAGCTGTATTTGCTTCTCTAATATTTTGGTATTATTCTTAAGAGATCCTAAACACTTTAACCTGTGTCTTGTTAGTATTTTATCTCTAATACATTTGTAGACAATTAAGAGTAACTTTTGGGTAACAAATTATAAATCACATAATACCTGCTATGGAATACCGAGCTAACTTTGGTTTGCTTTTCTAATGTTAGAGTTATAAATAAGCTTAGCCCTATCACTACAGATAAACTGCACATCACAATTTTATAGTTATATTCAGAATTTAAACTAATTTTATTATCAATGTATAAGAATAAATTTGGCATCAAAACATAGTTCAAAAATCAGGTTTTAATTTTTTAATTTCAAAAAGAAATATTTAAATAGATTCTCAATCTCCCTTGTATGTGTATTGTGAGATTTCTTCACTCAGATATGCCCATTCTATACAGTTTTTTTATCACCTCTTTCCAATATCCCAAGTTTAATGTAAATTACTCATTATAGTATAGATGTTACTAAAGCATAGTCTAATCTTTATAGCCTTCATTCTTTGTATAAAGAATATAAACTAGAAAGTCAGACCCACACGTCCTATCTTTTATAAATTTCCAATAATTGTTTCTGACATTTGCTATTACATTATTTATAACCAATAAAGTGACATAGTTTTAATTTACAGGATAGTACATAATGCTATCTTGTTCTCAATATAGATTATTCACTTAGAGATCAAAAGTTCAGACCCAGTACCTACGGGAATTATTTTAAGGTACTATGTTTTGTTTTTGAATTTCGCGCAAAGCTACACGAGGGCTATCTGCGCTAGCTGTCCCTAATTTAGCAGTGTAAGACTAGAGGGAAGGCAACTAGTCATCACCACCCACTGCCAACTCTTGGGCTACTCTTTTTACCAACGAATAGTGGGATTGGCCATCACATTATAACGCCCCCACGGCTGAAAGAGCGAGCATGTTTGGTGGGACGGGGATTCGAACTCGCGACCCTCAGATTGCGAGTCGAGCAACTTATCCACCTGGCCATGCCGGGCCAAGGTACTATGCCTCAGTTAAAAAGCCCATTAAATTATGATAGTTATAGGACATTTTTGGCTTTGTGCATGTTATTACTTTGTGTTATTAAGTGTATATTTGAAAAAATAAAACATTATTTAATGTACTAGTATAATCATTACAAACAAAGTTGGCTTAAGTTTCATCTACAGGTTGAAAGCAAAAACGAGGGGCCAAACTTAAATGCTAAAATTTTTGTTTTTAATGTATATCTTTTATAAGTAACTAAAATATAAAAATTAGAAACTTATTAGGTTAGATAAAGTTAGATTAGTTTAGATCAGGGGTTCTCAAACTTAAAAATAGTTTTTATCATGTGTACCTGGTGTATCATATGCATATTTCACTACCTTTAATTTGGGATCTATGTATATTACTAAATTAGTTTTATAATGCCTTAGCATTTTATTTTATTTGTCACTCTTTCAGTAAATGGTAATTTCATAAATTTGACGTATTACTGCGGCCCCCCATAAGCACTGTCACTGACCCCCAGGGGGCTGCAGATCACATATTGGGAACCTCTGGGTTTGACGATGAAAAAAGTAATAATAGAATAACTTCTCTACAGGGTATACTTGCAAGTAGTTATTGCATTACATCATTCACTATGGTAACTTGAGCTACACCCTCACAAAATGATTTATAGTTTGTATCATGGGGTTATCAGTTAGACACCATCCAAAGAGCAATAAAACAATAAAATTAAATAAAAACAAATGTATACTATTACGAGCCTAAAGTTGTATAGGAAAAATAATTATAATTTTCTGTTACAATCTGCAGTCATTCTAGAAAGGAAAAAAGGATAATTTAGATTTATTTCATATTTTTGTGATATTTACAAGGTCAGTCAAATATAAAATATAAAGTATTACTGAAAAAAAAAAAGCTTTATATTCAATGATGAGGTTTTCAGAGCATATGCAAATAAAGTCTGAAACTGTAAGATGAAAAAAATGTATTTTTAATCTTAACATGAAAATCACCTTATATTGGTCTAATCAACACACTGACTTCATATATTCATGTATAAATCTTGAGTACAAGATTTACTAAATCTTTACTTAATTAAAAAATCAGATTTTTTTGTGTACAAAAGATGAGTAATGTTTACTACAAGATAGCCACATTTTGTGAAGGTACACAAAGTAAATTGGGAATTATCGTAATTGTTAATTCTACAGTATGGGCTAGATCAAATAGACCAAGCCCATGTGCATACGGTTAACTAGCATATGATGTTGCAAAATGAAGCAAGTACGAATGATCTCTTTGTTATGATCTATAATTACAATGTATTGCAAACATGTATTAGGAAAAAAATCATTTTATTAGAAAAAGAAAACACATCAACTCACATTATGTAACAAACCTCATATTGTGATAAACTGAAAACTGAAATTCTCATCAGCCCAGATAGGTTAATGATACACAGGGTCAACCAATAGTTTTAAATGGCTATAAATGATGTGGAAGATAGCTCAGCTCAATTTTAAGGTATACCCATACATCTTTAATTTGAAACCATATTTTGAAACTATTGACCTTTCCTGCTTAAATTATCACTTGAGTTTCTACACACATTAAATTAGCTTTTATCAAAATGCAAGAAACATAAAATGAAAAACAGATAGAAGTAATTACCGAGGATGAATGTAATGATGGACTGTACTGACCAGGAGAAAAACTAGCACTAAAGCGACGGTTACGAGATATACCCAAAACAAGGTGAGATGGAGAAATGGCATCCCTATTAAAATATAAAAAAGCATAGGTTAAGATATACTCCATCTTGTGAGTAACAAATTATATAAAATAGCAGAAGAATGTTGAAATATATAGTTATATATAGTTTCAAGCTTCCAAAAAAGAAAAAATTTTCAATACTTTAATCTCAATAAATAATGAAAGTGTTTAATACAGAATAATCTCAGACTTACTTCTGCAATCAAATATTAGTATTTGTTAACTTCTGTTATAACAAAATAAAATAAAACAAAGAGAATATAAATTTTTGGTGCCTTCTGCAGCAACTAAATCATTATATCTAATCCTAGTATTAAATTCACTTGCTTCATTAAAAAAAAGCTTCAAATACAACAAGTCAACTGTTATATTGGAGATATAACATTACTGAAAATAGAGTTTCTCATTCAAAGTTTATGTTCTCAAGGTTGATGAAACATATCAATAAATAAAAACAGGAAAGAGCAATGAGAAAATATTAGATGTTATGTCAATTTCTTTCAAATAAACTTCAGTCAACTGTGCCACATTTAATCTGGCTTATCAATAAGTGGGTTGATCCATTTTTAGTTAAATTTTTAATAGTTTGAGTTGCTTATGCATTTTTTTCACATTATCTACATTATTATGGAAACAAAATGAATAACAACTGACAAGTTTCTTTCTCCATCTATGTTTTAAATTAACCTCCTCACAATTTTCCACCTCAAGAAAAGTAAATATGCAACCTATAATTCCATGGTTCAAAAATGTCAAAACATCTGTATAACTGTTTGTTTTGAATTTTGTGCAAAGCTACACGAGGGCTATCTGCACTAGCCATCCCTAATTTAGCAATGTAAGACTAGAGGGAAGGCAGCTAGTCATCACCACCCACTGCCAATTTTTGAACTACTCTTTTACCAACGAATAGTGTGATTGACAGTCACATTATAACACCCCCATGGCTGAAAAGGCGAGCATGTTTGGTGTGATGGAGATTCGAACCAGTGACCTGCAGATTGCGTGAATCGAGCGCCCTAACCTCCTGGCCATGCCGGGCCCATCTGTATAATATTAAAATAGTAAATTTTAACTAATAATTGTTCTGATCAAAACTAGATATAAAATTATAAAAAACACTATTACATGATGAAAGAACAGTCAATAAATGAACTAATAATACATTTTCCATGCTTAAAATATCTACATACCTAAATGATGTGTTGTTATCAAGAATGTTGATCATGGGTGCACTGTTGGATCGCTTCAAGTTTGAGGTAATTCCAACTGATGTTGAAGGGGGATCCACATCCATTCTCCTACACGAGTTTTAAAATCAAGCAATGCTACATTTATTTTTTCTTCACAAAACCTATTAAAAACAATTATAATTATATTCTTTACCCTAGAGTTAATTGTTCTGTAACAATTTTTTCTGAATAAAAAATTAATCACCATATTCTGTTGGTATAAAAACATATTAATGGTGTGGTATTCCTACCTACAGTTCTTTTTCATTTGCCTGGAGAAAGAGGCAAAAATCAGTAAATAAAGGATGGATGTGGTTTGAGCAAGGATCCCCAACCTCTTGTGCACTACAAGCCAAATTCAAGACTGAAAACAATGCGTTGTTGACTAACTAGCTCATGTGACTAGACTTTAAGCAATTCTTATGGTTTATGAACAAGGCCATCCAAGCATGCAATAAAGCAAGTCAAGCATGGTTTGATCCATGTATTCAGTAGTAATTTACTGGTTTCTTTTAAATGGCTTGTTGTCAAGGGTCACTTGAAACTGCTTCACACTGGGAACCCCTAGGTTTGATCATATTTACTTAAGTGAAAAGATGAAACATATACTAAGATATATTATTTGAAAATTGCCATACTTTTACTGTACTCAATTAACAATTAAACTAAACTAGTATATTTTTTTTATTTTATGAAATAATAATAATACTACAGCTAATTCAATGGAATATTTCACTAATTTATTCATGTTTTAGCAAATATTAGATTATATACACCCGTGATGGAGATATTTGAAAGATGAAGAAAGAAATATGAAATTTGTGTCCAAATGATCTGGACTCATGTATTGCTATACTATTTAAACAATACAATAGTTTTATAATGAGCTGAATCAAAATCAATCTAGGAAAAGTATAGAGCAGCAAACAAATCAAGAAACACATATAACAATAATTGCAGCAACTGTGGAGTCTCATTTCTTTACCAAAATGGAATTAAGACTATACCAGATTAACAGAAAAAAGTATCATAATTACAGTACACACACAACCATTCTACTCAATTCTGCACGTGTCAGAAATCTGTTATAAGTAGTATATAAGGGGAGAAAATCCCATAGTAAAGCATCAAGAGAGATGTGAAGAATGTGAACCATTCAAGACTCTTACCTAATGATGGCAGTTCATATTTTAGTATCCTTATTGAGTAAGAGTTAGTTGACAAAAAATAAAAAAGATCATACATGTGTATATATATAAGTGATTCAGAAGTCCATTGACAGGCAAATCATTCAGAAATGGAGAAGTGTAGGCAAATAATTGCTAGAGATATAGGATGAGGTATTGTAGGATTACCTTAACAATACCACTGAGGCCATTCAAGGTCACTGTTTATACCTTAGCAGTTGACATTCTTTGTGCATCATGCATATTAATAAACATTTTACAGGACATTGCCTCAGTGAATTATTTGCCAGTCAATGGAGTTCTGAATCACCTTGTGTATATAACTATGAAACTAAACTCAAATAACTTGAAAATTACTGTGAACTCTAAAGTTATTAAAACATTTTTAGACTAACACGTAGGTTCAGATGTCAAACTGCCATTATTGAGGGAATGCAAGTCCCACAGTTAAACCCAGAGCTAAATAACAGCAATTAAAGAAATGACTATTGTTATAGATGGGTCTTTATAAACAGAAAGATGTGAGAGATTCTTTGTCACCCAAGAAAAACATTAATTTTTGCTTGATTATCAATCAGCAAATGAACTAAGTATCATGACAAATGCCAATGCTATTCAGACATCACCAATATCAACACATGATCTGACAAAAGGACAAAAACCACTTTAATGGTACTAGCATGTTAAAAGATGTTAAAATTAAAATGCACATTCACATCTCTTTTTCACAAGAGGAATAAAGAATCAGAAAATGAGATTACAAAAAATGACATTATAGAAAGACTTTCTAGCCCTGCACCTTGGGTCTCTTTGATAATACTAGTAGCTATGCCTAAAAACTACAACCAACTAACTATCATTTAAAAATAATTAAGACATGATTAAAGCACGAGTTAAGCAGGCCTTAAATTTTACCAAAAACCTCATTTCATCAAATGTACTATCAACTTGAAATAAGTGAAAATTTTTGTTTTCAACATTCAATTGTGAATTGTAGTTAGTATTTTTCATGAGTGCTTACATTTTCTCCAATGTCCTAAAAACACTGCTTAAAAAAAGATTCTGTTATTACTCATTTCCTGAAAAGTGTGGAAAGCTGTAATGTTAAGGAAATAGTACATTTTATACAAACAAAAAGAGCTCATTCATTATGGAGAGGTATTGGCAGATTCCATGAGAAAATAATACAAGATGACTGCACTCCTCAGTAAAAATGAGGAAAGTCCTATCACAAGCATACAATGTGATAATGATTTATATGATCATCACAAGTACTACGAAAATTATGTTATATTCAATCATGTTAAAATATAAGTGTTCGAGTCATAATAAGAAAAATACTGCAACCTTGATAGGTTGAATGTTCTTCGGTCACCTCGATTTTTTAAAATCCTACATACCTTTTACACTCTCTCTCTCTCTCTAAGGAAATGTACAAAATAATGATTGTTTTGAAGTGTAAAATTTGTATGGCTGAGAAACTAATGCTTCATTAGTTCTGTTCTTGTTTATTTTATTTTAATCTATTCGAGGTTAATGTTTTAAATTCTAATATCAAATGGTTTATGTTGAATGTATATTTTTATGTCCCCTTTGTTTGCCTCAGTGGACTAAGTAACTTATGTAACACTATATAATGATATATTTGTTTGTCACGCTAATGGGTTAGTTTCCATTTATATCAAATGTGTGATCCAAATTATGGGCCACACACTGCTAACAGTGAGGGTACCCAACTGATGACCTAGGGTAGAGTGGTCAGAGAAGTTTTGTTCCTGTTACTTACAAGAAAGACTATTTATGATCAATTGTAATTATTACTGTAGAATTTTAGCAGCTTTTCTGGTGAAGTTATCACATAATGATAATCCAAGTTCATTACTTTCATATATTTTAACTAATTCCTAACTTTTTTGTAGTTCTCTAAATATTCCATCCTGTCAGTTTGAACTTCTTAAACTTATGGTATTTATTTCTGATTTTCTTCTTTATGTCCTTAAGAAGCCAATTACATATGATCTTCCCTGTTATCTTTAATTTAATTTCTAAAATTACATCAGTGTTTTTCCACATCACCTTTTAACTCATTATCTCAATATCACATTCAATACCTTGCAAGACTAGTATGAGCATAAATAAAAAGTATAAATAGTTATGTAACTGCAACGGAAATTGCATCTATTCTTATTATAATTAAGACTGCAATTGCTTCAGTCCAAAGATCCAGAAAACCTCATGGAACTTAACAACACAGAAAAAACAGGGTAAAAGAAGACTTTAAGGTCACTTAAAGTCTTAATAAGCTACTGAAATATCAAATTCAAATTAAATGTAGCTCTTTACATCCACATATGTATCAAATAAGCTGAAAATAATTCATTAACTGGTAAGTATATGGTTTCTAAAGAAAAGCAAATACTTGCTGTGTTCCTGAGTTTCTGAATAGAAACAATCACATATAAATACAAAAGCACATGTAAATTATAATTTGCAGTATGTGGTAAACATATGAATAACAACATGGCAGTTGCCAGAAATTAGCTATATATAATCTAAGAGTACAGATGTCATCACTTGCCAATTTTTCGAAGGCAAATGATCTGATGTGTTACACCTTCTATAACAAAGTTTACAAAGTGCCAATACCAACTAGATGAAAATCTTATCTTCTGCTTAGTCATTCTTGTATTTATTATTTTAGGAAAACGTAGTCTGTAAGTTGATATATTTTAAGAACAAATGTTCTTATTAATATCTGTTATTGCAGGTTTTGAATATTTCAATCACACCTTTTTGAAAGTAAGTTTTTCATGTAGATCTGCTGGCATTGATTAGTATAGGTGGTGATACACTGTAGTTCTGTCAGCATACACAGAAAGTTTGATTTTCATGAACAATTATGCAGCTCAAATATTTAAATTTAAGACAAAGATACCATATTTTGTTTATAACCAAGCAGCTGTTGAAATTAGAAACTGGGTATAAAGTTAAGGAGTTAAGTAAGGGTATTAGCTGTATGGTAACAAATTTAAAAGTATATGTTATGGGTACTATAGTTGATTACAGATAATTATATAGAAAACCCTTTGTATTATGTGTGACATGTTCTTCCCTGAAAGCAAGCAGCTTCTTTATTTGATGACAGTGAATTAGTATTCGAAACAAGGAGATAACTGGAGAAACTTACTATCAACAGAAATATCATTAAAGTTTCATACAGCAAGCTGGATAACTGAACTCTATAAATAAACAACCAGATCCTATATAAAAAAAACAAAGATTAAAAGTATGGTTCAAGAAAAACATGTGACCTCCTCCTAATGCTACCAGAACAATTACAATGATATACTGCAATTAACATACAACTCTTTTGGCAGACAATTCTAGTGATAACACTTGCAGTGGCTACACTTTGGTCTCTTGAAATTAATAATATAAACATTATATGCAAAATAATAAGGTTATTTCATTCTACATAAAAATGCTTTGACTAAACATAACGTTCTACAAGGTGATTACATTAAAACAGTTTTAATTAATTTTCTGATAGGGTGATTATCTTAACCACACTTAATTTATCTCAACACAGGGAAACTTTCCCACTCCAGATTGACATATTAAAAGATCTTTCCTGATTCAGTAAGTAGTGGTGTATTGCCACTTTTAGGTGGTGGAGCAATTTGTTGCTTGGGAAGGCTCTAAATACAGTCATTTAAGATACACTGAACTCAATTTGCAGAGTGGTCAGAGAATTTCAGAAATTGGGAATACCCAAATTGACAGAATAGCTAGAACAATGAAGAATATATATATAGAGAAAAGTCTGTATATAAGTAGTTAAATAATACTTTTGAAGCTAAGTCCATCAAATTTAAAGATAAATATAGTAGGATAAAGAAATGTTAGAAATATTACCAACAAAACTGAAGAGTTCATGGCTCTATTTGAACTGCGAAACAAAGATATATAATTGGAAGTACTGAAAACTTGTTAGATTCAGAGAATACTGATAAAAGGAATTATTTTAAAATTACAGGTTATAAGTTATTTAATAGAAATCACCTATTCTTTAAAGATAGAATAGGGTGACTCTTTATGAATGGGGTGAACTGTAGCCTGTTAGAATTGAAGACAAAAATGATAGTAAAGTGGTTGAATCTTTATGGGTTCAAGAGTAGAAAGTTTTCAATTGGCAATTATCACAAAGGGCACTTGATGAAACAGAAGAAGTATGTGAAAAATTTAATAATAAAATTGGGGTTGTTACTAATAAAAATACTTATGCAATACTTATGGAAAACTTTATTTTTTCAACACATAGATTCAGAATGTATGGAGACAAATATAAGGGAAAGAAATTTCTTGAACAGGACAGTTCACAATTTTCTAAGCCAAATGGCCAGATAGCCAATGGGGGGGGGGGGGGCACCATTGTAAATTTACTGTTAACCACTAATGTTTGTAAATATTTGTAAGAGCCAAAGTGAGAAACCCTTGTGGAGGTACAATCATTGCATAAGTTGGCTTGATGTTTTACTACATTTTAAGGTAAAAGAGAAATAAAATTTCAGTTCCTACCATCCAGAAACCACTTCTTAGATCATAAGGCAAAATTCATCATTAGTGGAATGGGTCAATGAGTTCAAAGGTGATGTGGGACAGATATAGAAATTTGTTAAAATAAATTGCTTTTAATTCAAGATGGGCATATTCCTAAAAAGAAGAAAAGGATCACAGCAAAGTTTAAATCTGATTGGCTTACCAAAGACATAAAGAAAATCAGGGATAAATGCCCCAAGTTCAAGTAGTTTAAATTGGAAAATATAGAGTGGAAAGTTCATGGAACTATATGAAGGTTACAAATCTGATTAAAAGAAAAATGGAGAAATCCAAAAAGCTTATAGAAACTAACACCAAAATTTTTTTAAAGAATCTTATGGGCACATAAAATGTTAGAATGAAAATTTGGCCCTTAAGGGATGTAGATGGCAAGGTTTTTCTTAAAGACTTTGACATGATTGAGCTCTAAATATTTCATCTTCCTTTTTTACAAGAGAAGATATTAGCAATATTCCTGACCCTGAGTATTCTACAGAAAATGTTGAAATTGAGCTAATGAAGCTATTAATCCTATGGATGATAAGTAGAAAGATCAAGAAATTAAAAAAAAAGATAAAGCACCAGGGCTAGACAGGTTTTTTCCCATGGATTATTAAAGGAGTTCAAAGATCAGACATGTAAGCTTTTCTTTTTAATTTTTAGTAGGTCATTAGAGTAGACATTTGCATTAGGGTTGGAGAGTTCCTTATGTTACTACTGTTTTTAAAAGGGATAAAAACTCAAGGGAGTCTGATATAAGAAGCTTTACAAAATCATTTAGTAAAATATAAATGAAAGCTAACATGGATTCACCAAAAGGAAATCTGTTATCTTTTTTTTCTGAACAGTGTTAGTTAGATCACTGGTTCCCAAACTCTTTTAGTCTGAGGCTCCCTTGATGTAAATAAAAAACCTTGAGGCCTCCCAACCTATAACTTTATCATTTTCGGCTCGTTTTTTGGCAGCCCCAAGGGGGGCTCAGGCTCCCACTTTGAGAAACATTGATCTGGATTACGAAAAAGATTGAATTTTGTATACTTAGAGCTTCAATAATCTTCTGATAAGGTGTCACACAGAATGACTTGAATCAATTAATAAATTGGGCAAACATTTGGTAAGTGACCTTTAATTATAGTGTGCAAGGTAATGCACTTTGGTTATCATAATTTCGATCACACAGTTTAACAAAGATGAAAACTGCTAAATAGTGTGACTGAAGAAAAGGATCTTGGCATATTGGTGGTTAAGTGTACCAAGCCATCTAAGCAGTGCCCAGTTGCCAGTAGTAAATATAACAAAATTTTAGGGTATATTTATAGACATATTGACAACAAGTCTAAAGAAGTAAATATCTCTATACATATCACCAGTTAGGCTTCATTTACAAAAACTGTGTATAGTTTTGGTTTCCTTATCTAAGAAAGGATATTGACTTACTGAAATGGGTTCAGAGAAGGGATACTATAATGATTCTGGAGATGGGTGGGTTATCTTATCTTTTGTTCAGAAGGTACAAGGTTACCTTATTAAAGCTTACAAGATTATCGACAGGATCAATCAAATAAAGGCCTCTGATTTCTTTATGCTTTATTCTGATGGTACAAGGATAAGAGGATAAAAGTTTAAAACGTGGAAAAAGACTGAATAGGCTCCAATAAGTGATTTATGGAATGAATTGCCTTAAGTTTTAGTAACTGCTAGCACTTTACAGGAGTTGTAATATGGGAATTGATGATTTCCTAAAACATGAATAGTGATTGAATTTTTATTTTTCCCCAGGAAAAGTGACCAAGAATAGCCTTGATGTCCATAGGCTATATTAATACAATTACATTACTACAAGATCTTGTAAAGATGAGCTAATACACTCAACACACAGTCACAGAGATGGAGTTACAGTTATTTGAAATATAAAATTAACATGTTCAATATGACAGTTATTTCCTGAAATAAAACCTAATGATTATAATAAATAAACATTTTCATGGTTACTTCTGTATCAAAACTAATTCATTAAATAAATTTCTCATACATTCATTGAGATACAAATTTATTGAAATAATTTTATAGGTTAAGTTCCCCCTTCCCAAACATTTGTGTGGATTTTGAAAGTTGTCTAATATGTGTTTCTGTTTAAGAAATGGAATAAAATGATTAGATATACAAATTTGAATATTATGAGTAATGGATTAAAGCTATAAAATATGAGATGCAGGCTTCTTCTTAAGACACTTTTTTTTTTCCTTGGTTAACTTAAAGAGTAATCTGTCTGTTGATGAGGGCTGTTACTGTTAGTTTGAAATCAGTTAAAATTTTTTGATAGGTATGCCACAGTGAAAAGCTATGTTCTTTTTTTTTTTCTCTTTCTTGTATGAAAGTGACCTCAACTGATTGAATGATTACCACAGATAGTAAACAAACATTGGTATTTTCATCACCAATGGGTGGGATATAACAGGAAGAAAAGAACTATCACAGCAACTTAAACAACCAACTTAATAACACTAA